TATGTGCATATACAAGTCAAGATCCCACTGAATCTGTGTGTTTTGATAAGTCGTCAAGAAAAGATGGAATAAATAAGCTTGTTAGTTGCTGAGCCCAGTGGTTGTTACAGGCATGTCTCTCAAATGTTTCTGCTCAGCAAGGAAGTTTTTTATGTGAAGAGCCATTTATTAAACCATTCCATTATTTTGGGAATAGGTAGGACTGATGCTCGGAATAAATTAGCAAAATTAAACAATCTAGATTGTCAAAAGCCCATCTTAATTATCTAAAGCACAAGTAATACTGTTTCACTTGTAAAGACTTGTTACTGTATTGGTAAAACACTGCATGTGTACAAATATCTAAATGAATATATTTGAATATTGCTGATATCTGGTTTTCTGAGCAGCAAAACAGATCTCAAAACCCGTTTTCTTACCTAAGTTTTTATCTTAACATCCTGGAAAGCAACAAAAGCTGACATTAGGATACCAAATTAAAAGCTGATGAAAACTAGGAAAATAAAAGACTTACTTTTTTTTTTGACATTTACAATTAATGCCACAAAAATGTTAGTTTAATCAGACAATATGGGTGCTTACAAAGGTGAAATTGGAAGTTGCCAGCCCTGAATGCTCACGTAAAAGTTAATAAATTCAGCTCGTAATCATTATGCACATGCTAGTTATAATAATTTACTGTCCGTACCAAATCTTTATAAGCATTGTAATTAAATATAAAATGCACATTAGAATTATAATGAGTAATTAGGGCAACATAACTAATGTGCATAAAAGTCCCAATGCTCATTAAAATGTAAAAAGGGGAAACCTGCTCTAGCTGGAGTTTTAGCATGTTCCCTGTGCCTGTGAATGACAGGGATTGTTTTAACTGTTGCCTTAGGCATTTAAAAGCAAAATGAAACTGCCTGGGAGGGGACCAGATTCAGCAGGACTTTGAGTAATTTCTGGATGGAACTTAAGCTGTAAAATGTGGTTTTCCAGCACAAACTCCTGAGTCACATAAAGGTGTTGGGGAACAAAGATGTGCAGAATCAGAATTATATAAAGGTTTGGGTTGGGAGGGACCTTTAAGCTCATCTTGTTTCACCCCCTGCCATGGGCAGGGACACCTTCCACTAGACTAGGTTGCTCCAAGCCCTGTCCAGCCTGGTCTTGCACACAGGGCTTTGTAGGGTGACCTGCGTGGGCTCCACGCGATGACACCAAACCCCTGGTGAGCCGGGTGGCATCTGGCATTGCCTCCAGTGCCTGTTGGGTCCAACTCTTCTCACTCACACACTTCTCCTGACAGATCCCTCATGTGGGGATACATAAATATGTATTTCTAGGGAATAATAAATATGTATTTTGGCTCAAGCCCAGCCTTCCCTCCTGAGCCATCTCACACAGGGACAGACGTGAAGGGTGTTGGTGAAGCTCCAGTGCAGCCACGACTCTGACACCCTCTCCAAAGAACCTTTCCCAGCAAAGCACTCACAGAGATTTGAGAAACTGATATTAAATAAATTCCTGTAATGTATTTCCAAGTCAGAAATTAGGCATTTGTTTTAAGAACCTTTCTCCACAGGGTTGAACCATGGGAGAGGATTAAACAAGGATTCACTAAAGGAGGCTAAACTTACAAACATGAACCACAGAAGCCCAGTGCTGCTGACAGATTTATAGTAATCGTATTCTTTTCTCCATTATTTTATATAACCATTATTTAGGAGATATAAAAATGACAAATATGTTTAAAATTATTAGTCTCGCACAAGGTTTTCTTCTTAACATCACTGTTAGATTTGACTGCAGTGTCTCTGTCAGCCCCCTGACTTGTCTGGGATAATCCCCACCTTGGGAACTCGGGGGGGACTTCAGCCCCTTCCCTCCTCCTGCAGCCTCTGCCAGGAGGAGGTTTTCCTGTCTCCTGATGCTCTGTACCTTTGAGACAAGGTATTACTTTCTTGCTGGCTTGTTTGTTGTTATTAATACTGAAGTACTCAGACACAAGGCTGTGTCTGCAACATAGCGGGAATCTCTTCCCACAGAACTTGTGGAGGGGAAAACCAGTAAAGGCTTTAGTTGTAGGTGTTTGAGGGGAGGCTGGAGCTGGAGCCTCACCTGTTCCACACCTCAGGGGATGCCAACAGCTGCAACTTGACTGACAGCAATGAAATCAGCTCTCAAATATCTCCTCAAATATGAGTCTTTTTGATTGCATAAAAAACCTACATTAAAATATACAAATATATAATAGGGATGACCTAAGAATCTCTCCCAGGAGTTTGTCTCTTCCTTTTCCAAAGCAGACCTTGGCAGTGAGAGCAGCAGGTTTTGGTTGTGTGATTTCAGTTGGAGTATCTCAATCTTCCAGCCCCATGGCAGCAGGTGGGTCTGGTGGATTTTTGGCTCAGCTCATTTCTAATCAGTGCTGCAGGAACACACCTGTATCAGACTAAGAGCAATAAAATAACCTGACAGTGATAAATCCAAGAGGATGGTGGCTCCAAGCGATCCCCGGGTTGTGCTTCCATACCTGTATTAACTAGGGATTTCCTGGAGCAGGGAACATTGGTTTTAATTCTTATTCTGAAGAAACAGAATCCAAAATCTTTCTGAAAGCAAGATCTAAGAAAACTCCCTCTTTAGAAATTTTCCAGTAGTTTCCAAGCAGAAGCCTCACCAGATAGCAAAGCCTGGAATCATTGCTTGTAGCTGGGATGCAGCTGAAATCCCTTCCCAGCTGCACTGAGAGCACAGGGCCTGGGGCTCCTGCCTGAAGAAGGAGCAGCAAGCTGTACATTTTTATGCATCATTTCATTTTAAAACATATTGTCAGTGATGTTCTGCATTATGTAAAAAGCATCCAACGATCCAAAGGAAAAAAAAAAACACAAAACACAAAAACAAACAAACAAAAAAACCCTAAGAAACACACAGAACACTAAGCAAAAGGTGAGTAGACCCAGAGGTAGCATGAAGGTGGTACGTTTTAGGAAAAAAGCCTTTGTATGTGACTCAGGCCTTTGCTTATCTCTTATTTGCTCTTCCAGTGGTCACATCTCTCATACAACTTGAGTGAAGGAGTGGGAATGCATTACATGTCTCTGTTATTTTTATGGAGTAACAAAACAAATCTGTATTTTTTCCTATGCACATTATGCAAAAGTAGTCCTGCAAATTGCTTGAACACTTACTATCTCCTGGAAATTTTAATGTTACCAGTTGAAAATTAATGAGTTTCTGGGTTGGTTTGTTGTAATCATCAGGTATGTGATGAGGGAACCTGCCTATCACTGTTTTGTCGTAGACCTGATGCTTCTTTAGTGGCAGGTTTGTGTAAAATAGTCAGATCTCATAAATTGTGTCAGAAATGAAGGGTTTGGCTTTTTAAAGAAACACCATCAAAGGTATTGGCAAAAGCAGGTTTAATTTAAATTTGTGAAAATGTGACTTTACAGAGTTGGGTGTCAGGAGTTGCTCTGTTACTGCCCAGGTTAAAGCACACACAGGAAGATCAGATCAGAAGCCATTTGGAATGACTTACACAGAAGCTGGGAATGCAAAAGGGAGCGCAAAGGGTATGGGTGCAAAGATAACGCTGCCAAAGGGTTTAGCAGCACTGAATCACTGAGCACTTTAACATTTACAAAGCGATTCAGTAGGTTTGCTGTAGTTATAAAAATACCTTAAGTCTGGATTTGGGACAGGAACATTCATCCCAGAATCAATTCCCATGCATGGGGGTAAAGCCCTGTGTGCTCCTGTTTCCAGGTGTGTAAAGGCACCTATTGAAAATTCCCCTCTTGATTCTAACTGTTCCCACCCGTACCATGCACGAGCTCCTGGTGGGATCAGAGAGTGTCTCAGGCTCCACTGGGACAGTCAAGGGATATTTCAGCACTCAGATGGTTTGGTCAAGGTTTATCAAGAGCTGCTGAGATCAGGTCTGAAGATGGGGTGGGAATGCACCACAACCACGTAGACAATGAACAGTGGGTGAGACGGTGCAGGAAGCAGACGTGAGGCAGTCAGAGCTCTACATGAACATAAACACCTTGAAGCAACATCTGGAAAACTGCTTGGGAAAAAGTAAACAGATTTTTATTTATAAGTTCTGTGGTTTGGTTTTTATAGTGTTTTGATGATGTACATAAATTATTGTATCAAACTAGAAAACATAAAAGAAATTCCAGGGGGGAGGCAGTTGTTCCCTTTGATAATCTCTTTCCTGAAGAATTTGCTGTGTTTTATTTTCAGCTCACTGTTGCCTTTTGCTGGCAACTGGAAAACTTGACAATGGCTTTTTATCTTTATTTGTATCTGTGGTTCTAAGCTCAAAATGTTCATTACTATTTACAATGTCTACTATTTAAAAACACAAAATACATTTACTAAAACAACGTTATATCCAGTGCAATGCTGGGAGAGTCACTGTTCTGTGAGGTTGATGGGTGGCTCACCATCCTGAAGGTTTATTTTTTAAATATGCAAAACAGGGACTCAAAGGCCACCTGAGCTCTGGGGTTTGTGTGCTGTTTACAGGAGCCATGATGCAGGAGGTAAGAGGTGCTGGAACTGGGGCCCTTATGGCCTGGGCACTGCTGTACCCTCCCAGTGCCAGGGACTCTTCAACTGAGCTCAGTGGGAGCCTCTCAGTGCACCATTCTTGGAGTTCCATGTGCTCCTTTCCAATTCCCAGGATTTACATACATCTTGTATGACACTAATGCTTACAGTTGTGGCTTACACTGAGTAACTGTTGGACAACCAGCTTTTTTTCAGAATTGGATTAATATCTCTCCATGTCTCAGTTGTGTTTTTACACCAAACACATAGGACAGATCTCAGAACCTGCTGTGTGGGGTGATTTTGACTTTGCTGGAAGCAAACGTGGTTGAATGTGAACCAAGCTGGAGACCACTCATGCCAGGCCGAGCGCGCCGAGGAGCAGCGGCGCTGAATGATCTGCGTGTCCAGATGCCAACATCCATTTTACAATTCTTTTCTTTCAGTTGCCCCCACAATTCAGGAACTTAAATCCAGCGGTGTGGTGCTTGGAGGGAACGGCCTGATACGGTGCGAAGGTGCAGGAGTTCCTGCCCCGAACTTTGAGTGGTACAAAGGAGAGAGGAAGTAAGTAGCCGGTGCTGCCGCCTGCCTGCGGGGACCAGGGTGGAAGAGAGAGGAACCGCCAGGCTGGGGTTGTCCCCATGGTGACAAGTCCAGCAGCCTGGCCTGCAGTCAATGCCGAGCTCCAGCAGTGGGTACCTGGAGGCATTGGCTGTGCAGTACTGGGGGAACAGCTCAGTATCCTCGTGGTTGTATTTCCTGCTCTGGACACAGGCTGTGCTGGGCTCTGAGAGTGATAAATGCCATAACGAGCCTAACATTCAAATGTGCTTTAGTAATTACAGCCTCTTAAGTATAATAAAAAAAAAAAGGCACTGAAAAAGCTACTAAAAGGACTTTTTTTTTTTTAATTCATCTTCCCAGGTTTCCTGCTGTGAGTTTTGGGGTGGAAAGGTTGTTTCGTGAGCAAGACTTTCAAACAAATCTTCCTGTGTATGGATTTTCACCCAGTTGTGTCACTGGTGGTCTAGACCGTGGGTCTGTATTCCACAGAGCTCTGCAGGTCACTGCATCCAAGAGTGGGTCCAGGGAGTGCTCCTTGCTTAAGCCCTAAAAATTGATTCTGTGCTTTGGGTTTGTTTGCAGCCAGCTTCACTTCCAGGTCACTAGTGTTATGGAATGGTAACAGGCATCTCTGTAGAGTCAGCTTTATTTTAAAACCAGCTCATTAAACAGGTAGATAGTTTCCATTTTTAGTAGGACATTGGGTTTTTCAGCTCTTGGGTTGTCCAAGAGCTTATTTCTGTTAGGTTCACATATCTATGCAAAAGCAAGTGGATGTTGTGCCTTGTAACTGAGTGTCAAGCTTTTGGAACTTCCCAGCTTCCAAGTGTTAGGTTTCTCAATTCAAACATCCCCCTAAACCTGGGAGCTGACAGGAGAATATTAATGACCCTTTTTCACAGAGAGCCATCTGTCAGCTCGTTTCTCAGCTGCTCCCCTCCCTCAGCAGGAGCTGCTCCTCCTCTCCCTTCACTTTGCTGAGCAGTCGCAGCTTTGCATTTCACCCTATCCCAAAACATTCTCTAAAACCTGACCTTTATATGACAGTAACTTGTTTTCCTCTGTTGGCAAAATTCAACTGCATCCGGTTTGCACAGATGCCTGTTGTGTTGTGCTCATCCTGGGGAGAGTTGCAGCAGGAATATATTTTGTGTAGGAAATATTTCAGCGCAGTTTTAGCACTCTGGATTCAATCAACCCTTTCCAGCGTGCTAATCACCTTTCTATTTATAACACTGACCAAATTCCTTTCCCGTGAGTGCACTCACTGCCAAGGCAGCAGCAGGAAAAATGAAGCAGAGCATTTCAGGACACCAGAGTTGTGCTTCTGTCTCAGTTTCAGTTGGTGTTTCACCTCAGCAAGAACTGTACTGTCCTTTTGGGTCTTGCTGCTCAAATGTTGTGTTAAATCTAACGCTCCATCCTTTTTAGGAGTTGGACTTTGATGATTCTAGTGGGTCCCTTCCAACTCAGGATATTTTATGAACTGTTGTTGGCAGATGACTACAAAAGTGCTGGGGGTCTCTGAACTCCCTTCACTTGCAGGAAGGAAGGAAATCCATACACACTTTTTTTTTCCTTCAGTATATCCCCTTTCCCTCTGGATAATGGGCAGCCAGCACAAGATGAGCCTTGAGCAGCTCAGTCATTGGTTTAATGCAAAGTTCTTAGAGGTAGCTCAGAGTAGCATCTACATTATCAGGCAGATAATTTGCAGCTGTACTTCGGGACTACATTTATCCCCTGGGAGTGCACACTCTCCTGTATTTTCTGTTAACAGAATAGAGAGAATCCCATTTGCTTTAGATACACTTGGACTGGGACTTGTATTTTTGGACATCTGAAACCCTAAATGTATGTTCAGTGTCTGAAACAAGCCTTTTCGGCCTGTAAACTGTATTGTTGTTACTTAGATTAATGTAAATCCAAACCCACCATTTCCAGACTCAAGGGATCATCTTATCACAAAATAGTCATTAAAGCTAAGCATAAAGGCTTTAACAGACTGCATTAAGTTAAAAATATTAGTCTTTGAGGCAGAGAGGCTAATTCTGCCTTATCACTGAGTTCCCGAGGGCTGCTGTTGGGTAACTCTCTGCAGGTGCTGGTGCCCAGGGTGGGGTAAACTGGGAAGAGACAGAAAATTTGGGGGAGAAGTTAGTAAAAACCTCTTAAAATTATCATAGAAACATCAAATGGTTTGGGCTGGAAGGGATCTTTAACCCATTTAGTCCCACCCTCGCCATTGGCATGGACACCTTCCACTGTCCCAGGTTGCTCCAAGCCCCATCCAGCCTGGCCTTGGACACTTCCAGGAATGGGGCACCTCCAGGGATGGGGCTTTATAAATGTGTGTGGCTTCTAAAATTGTAGCAGGATTCCCGGTGGAGAGGAGAATGACTTCACTGTGCCAACTCCAAAATCCACGTCTGTTCAGTGTGTTATGTTTAGGGTTACACAGAAATTAGATCTCAGACATTAAACAGCCACAGGGAAGAAGCCAAAAAGTCACCTAAATAAAATATTAAAATATTAATTCCCTTTTCCTTCTCAAAGCAAACAAGACACACATTTGAAATAACAAAACTCATTATAATGGCTTAATATATTATAATAAGGTGAAGGTATTCAAATTTGAAACCAAAGGCAGGCTCCCCCCGGGGGCTGGCACTGATGCATGAGCTCTGGATGTGTGGGAGTAATCTCTGGAATAAAAAGGAGATCACTCTTCCCTTTCTAACTGGTGCAAAGCAGAAAGGTGAAGGAACACGTGGGGCAGCTGCGCACAACTTAAAATGCTGTTCCAGGCTGGGAAAGAGCTCAGTGAAACCCAGACAAGTGATAAATGTGTGTTCAGTCAATAAACGAAGCCGAGCAGCTCACGGGAGCAATTAATTTAAAAGTAAAAGCATCTGCTTCTCACAACTGCAAATAGAAACCCTCGGAACTGCTGAGTTTATGCAAACTAATGCCAGCTCCTCGCTCCATTAATTGCCTGGCTTATTGATATGCACATCTACCCAGTTCCATTTACTCCAGAACCTCCAGTCCTGGCTGCCAGCATCAGCCACTTCCAGCAGGGACATGGAGGGACGGTGATGTGGGAGAAGTGGGAGAGGAAGGAGGGGCAGGACTAAGAGGAAAAGGGTTGTGAGCTGGCACCCACAGATCTCATCCTCTCGGCAGCCTGGGGAGACAGCAGGTCACAAAAAGCAGATGTGGTTATTTTTGAGGCAAATGTCACCCCTTACAGGGCATGGGGACAGCAAAATTTCCCCCCCTGCAATGTTTTCTGGATAAAAAAAATGAGTTAAACCTTACAACTGTAAAATAGAGATGCTGTAGTTCAAATTGTGGTTATGGGCCAAAGGGGTGGAGGTGGCTTGGAAAGAGCAGCCAGGAACCATGAAATCCCAGACTGGTTTGGGTTGGAAGGGACCTCAAAACTCATTTTATCCTACCCTCTGCCATGGGCAGGGACACATTCCACTATCCCAGGTTACTCCAAGCTCTGTCCAACCTGGCCTTGGACACTTCCAGAAGTGGGGCAGCCACAGCTTTTCTGGGCAACCTGTGCCAGGGTCTCACCACCCTCCCAAAAAAGAGCAAGCCATAGGTGGACAAGGAGCTGTGATTCCAGTACCCCAAGTTTCCCTGGGAGAGGGGCAAGGGATCAAACCCTGGAAGGCAGCGGGAAGAGATGGTGGCCATGGCTGCAGCTCCTGCCCTCCCAGTGTCAGTGGGTGTGAACCATGGTGTGATGGGTGGGTCTGGGAGTGAAGGAGGCTCTTAGGATTGTCTGCATGAGAGGCAGGAAGCGAAGGGACATTGGTGGGTTTAGAGGAACATCCATGTGCATAGGCTGAATGGACAAACCTCTGCCTTGCACAGGAAGAGATGAATCTTCCAGCTGGAGTGCTCACCCCAAACCAGGCACTTCAATCCCATTTCTTTTACATTTCATGCAAAATCTTGTGTGTCCATGGGATTTGCCATTTCCTCTCCCCAACCTTGGGCTGGAGGAGCAGAGTCCTCTACACCAACACAAGCAGCACAGGGAAGAGAAGTCCCCATGAGTGAGCAGCCTGTAGTGATCCAGTGGGAAGATAGGCATTCACATAACGATGAGGAGGGTTCAGTTCACAACATGCAGAATTGCAATTAATGACAGATTTTTGAAGGCTTTTAGACAGAAATGTAGAAGATTGTATTAATTCCCAGGATATACCATTATATCTTCCAATATAGCAGGCAAAAATTGTATTCTTAATCTGAAACTCTACTCCTGATGGGAAATATAAGGAATTAAGAGTAATAACCATAGCGAGTTTTTTAATAACATGGTTACCCTTTTCATCTCCTTGTTTGATCAGACGTGGTTTGCCTACAGCAACACCATTTAAGTTGGTCATCCTGGTGCACCAGCAATGATTCTGACATGGCTTTGGGAGCAATACCAAAACACCTGCGCAGTTCCTGTGAAATTTGGGATAGGGAGCTCAAAGCTGAGTGAAAAGATCCCTGATTTGGCTTCTTCCTGCACTTGGTTCCCTCATTCCTGCCCAGGTTGCTGACTCAGCACATGTTCCTAATTGCAAGTCTAATTTGCAGCCCTGTAAAACAAACTGTGGTCAGAATCCCACAGTCATATTTCTGGCTTCTAATCCTCACCTTTGATCAGCTGGTGGTGGGAACAACAAACTCCAAAGTCTGGAAAACACTTTTTGAAAGACTTACCATAATACTTCTCTGCCCTAAAGAGGGTGTTATATTTTCGGTTGGATTTGCCTCATTCACAATCTAAGCTCTCCATCTGAGAGCTTCTATCCCACACTCTGGTAAGGCAGGAGGGAATGTGGGTCTTTATTTTCTTTCAGCTGTAGGACACACAGGGAGCGGCAACTCTTCCCCTCAATACTCCCAGCTCCAGCATTGCATGTGACCTCTCCAATGTGGGAGTTTTGCTCAGCAGATGACACTGGCAGCTTGCAAAGAGCTGGTGGTGCTGCCAGTGGTGTCTGTAAAACAAGAAAAATAAAGAGATATAAAAAAAAAAGAAAATCTTGGTTATGGTATATGAGTTATAGACATTTTCTTTTTGCCTTCTAGACTGATCAATGGTCAACAAGGAATCACTATTAAAAATTATAGTACAAGATCACTTCTTACTGTTACCAATGTGACAGAAGAGCACTTTGGCAACTATACTTGTGTCGCTACCAACAAGCTAGGGACGACCAATGCCAGCCTGCCTCTCAACCGTAAGTAATGTGGACATGTGGCCGATGTTCATGGGTGTTTGTTACACAGACATGGATTCAAAAGCCAAAAAGTAGTCGTGTGCTTTTCTCCCCTCTAAATACCATTGCGTTCCTCAGTACTGGAAATGATGCACCTGGTTGATTATCCCATGCTGCAGGAGGGTTTCTGCTCTGAAAGTGTTGGCACGTTTTGGGGCTATCAGTGAGTTATGAGTCTGTCAAAGAACTCACAGCTAAACCCAACCCGCCGTCATGGGGTAGAGGCAGAATTGTCACAGCAACATCTTTCTGCTCAGAAGAGCAGTGATAGATCCCTACGGGACCACTGTAAACAAAGGTTAGAACTTTCCACAAGGAATTCCAACAAGGGATATCCTGAGCTGAAGAACTGGGGTGTGCCGGAGCTCTGCTCACACCTCGCTTTGTTGGTCATGGGCCTCAGGTACAAGAAAGTCTCAAAGGACTTGAGGTGAAATCCTTTGGAAAAAAACAATAAGCATTGTAAGAGGCAAAGCATCAGGATTTTCAGCATGGAGGTTGCCTAAAATGGGTCTCAGATGTCCTGTTTGGAAGGTATTTTTATCTGTGAATTGGTAGCGCTTCATCTTTGCTGAATATTTAGCCTTCTGCTAATGGCATGCAAAGATGTTCAGAGTTGAACTCTGGTGCTGAACTGTCTGTTCTGATAGTGAATAAAACTGAAAGACAAAATTCAGAATATATCCTACATGGTTTTCTCCACATGAAGATACTCCTTACTGAGCAAAAATGTACATTTTCAGTTGCTTAAATCCTACAGTTATTGCTTTCTAACCATGAAACTTCCTTCTAAACATATTCCCTGTATGATGTGTATTGTCAGGTTATTCTAAATTTCTGCAGAAGAGCTGTAATAGGCAGAAAACAGCACAAAGCCTTGGCTGCCATATATTTAATATTTGAGGAATCATTAACAACGGGGGAACGACATTGCACTTACTTTAAACAAAAAATACAAGTGAAAACAAAGGAATATTATGCCAGAAGGAGATGGAATTTGGTAAATTTGCAATTCAGAGAAGGGAAAATGAAGGTCTGGCTTCATTTGAACAAAGCAGAGCTGAATCTATCTCTGAGCTGCTACCAGGATATTATCAGTCTTGTATGGTGAGGGGACATCCTTAAAAAGCATTTTGGGATGCAGAAAATGTCATGTAAGTACCAAGTACCTTGTTACAAATCATAAGAATAGATGTTCTCCATCATCAAAGAGATGGGACATGTGAAGCAGAATGGTCTGAGAGAAAATGCTGAAATATGGGTCTGATCCTGACCTCAAGAAGCAAATGGGGGATGATGTTGGCTCAGAGGTTTGACTGAAAGACCAAGATGAAATGTCTTATTTTATGCTATGATTTTTTTTTTAATATAGTCAAAAAACAGATTTCTAAAGGTGGTGATCTAGATTTTGATTGGAAATGAAAATCCATTTGGTGGAGTTTTTTCATTGCTGATAATTTGCATCTTATCTAGGAATATTATAACCACACAAAAAAAAATCACAGGGTAGCAACTTGTTAAATGTGGATTCCTTAATCCTTCAGAGAGAATTTTCTCTTGTGAAGCTCTACTTACATTTAAATTTTTTTGGCAATGATAGCAGAACATATGTTCTGGTTCAGGTATGTGCGAGGGAACTGGGAGCAGTTCCTGGCTGGTTGCAACATTCAGTAGTCAAATGTAGGGTTAAGTGTAATTTGATCATCATGTTACTTGAAAGAAGCGTTAAAAATTAGAGTTTATGACTTATTTCAGTGTGTGTTTTCGTCTGTAATTGCATTGGAAAGATACAGTCTGAGGTGCAGTTTTGGGCACCACAATGTACGGAAGAGATGAAGCCATTAGAGAGTGTCCAGAGGAGGGCAATGGAGATGGGGAAGGGCCCTGAGGGGAAGCCGTGTGAGGAGCGGCTGAGGGCACTTGGTGTGTTCAGCTGGAGGAGGCTGAGAGGAAACCTCACTGCAGTTACAACTTCCTGGGGAGGGAAAGAGGAGGGGCAGGCACTGATCTCTGCTCTGTGGGAACCAGGGACCTGAGGGAATGACCTCAAGTTGTGTCAGGGCAGGGTTAGGTTGGATCTTAGAAAAAGGTTCTTCTTGCAGAGGGTGGTTGGGCACTGAACAGGCTCCCCAGGGCAGTGGTCACAGCACCAAGGCTGCCAGAGCTCAGAGAGTGTTTGGATGATCCTCTGGGGCACCTGGTGTGACTCTCGGGGATGGTCCTGTGCAGGGCTGAGGGGTGGACTGGATGACCCTTGTGAGACCCTTCCAACTCACATACTCTGTGGTTCTGTGATTTTATGTGAAATGGTTGGAATAACATCAGTGGTACAGTGATTTGGGACCCCCACCACACATCCCATTGCCATCCCATGGGAAACCACTACAAGTGTGCGAAGAGATGGGAGAGGTTGTCACAACCCTACAGCTGGAGCCCTTGAACCCTTGAGTCTGGATACCTGAGCTTCGACCCTGAGCACAGAGCAGCCCTCTGGTATCAGGGTATCAGCAAGCTTTGGTATCATCACCTTGTCCGGCATCGCTGGGAAGTTGCCATTTGGCTGCTTCCTTCTGCTCTTAGGTTGGGGTTTTTAACAATAATGTGTGTGGCACAGTATTAGAAAAGCTGTATATTTTTCTTTGCACATCTTATGCACATATGTAATGCATAAATAACACGGAAACTGTGCACAGCTGGGACAGGACTCAGGGACAGGACTAAGCCCCTTCTCCATTACTGGTGTCTGAATTCAGTGCAGATATAAAACTCCAGGATACCAGAATGAGGATTATTTCATCTGCTATGGAGAGGCTCTGGGTTTTTGTGATCCATCAAGGCAACCTTGAGCTACCAGAAAGTCATGAAGGAGGTCAGGGTGTGTCAGGACAAGGTACAAGCTGACTTTGTGTGGCTGGGACATGAACTGAGCCAAGGAGATGGGATGTTAATGGAGCTGTCCCAGAAGATGCCCATGGGGTGATGAGGCAGTAGGAGAACTTATCTGGAATTTGGCTGGTCCCCAGGGCCAGAAGACATGCAGCAGGGACACTTAGAGCTGTTTTTATCCTGGGGACAGGCAGCCAGATCAGTTTGCAGAAGATCCTCGTGTCTGAGGGGTTATGAATATCCCAAATCCCGAGAACATACTGGAATTTATTGTCTCCCTAACTGAGGAGTTGTTGGCCATGTCTAAGATCCAGCTATTAATAATAAATGCAGCAGCTGTAAAAGAGAAAGTTGGAGCCTTGCGGGAAAAATGCAGAGAAGCAGTGGTTCCAAAAAGTGAATAATGAATGGCAATTTGCTAATTATTCATGGCTGAGTCCTCTGGATCATCCAACTGCACTGTGTTTTGTGAGGAAGCGTTTGAAGTGCATGATCCCCCTGGAGCAGCCACAGGAGGCGTGTTTGGACAGTCCCACACTGGCATCTCTGGGCCTAATTGATCAGATATTTAGCACTACCTACACTGGCTGTTCCCAGAATTTCTGGTACTTAAGAAGAAAAAAAATATAGTCCTTTCCTGTAAATAAAGTTTGAATTTGCTGATTCATTAAACCCAGGAGATGAGGCTTTACGGCGCAGACCCGGGGCAAGAGGTTCCCTCTCCGGGGGCGAGGAGGCAGTGAGGAGTAATGGAATAGCCCTTTTTAATTAAGTACATTTGCCTTTTAAATTAGTGCAATCTTAACTCAAGACAAAAGGCATTTTCCTACAGACAGATTTGCAAGGCCATTGTGAGGAGAGGAATTGTCATTAACTATTGGCAACCAAAGGAGGTTTATTCAGGCATTTTTCCCAAGCAGTCAAAACTGAGATGGGTCTATTGCTGCTAAAGCAGCCACGTCCTTCCCCAGGTGTCCCCTGTCCTTGTGCTCTCCTGACTGGGGGCCACAGCTGGTAGTGGATTTCCTTTCTCTTACCGCAGCTGAGTTGTGGCAGAAGGTATTTCCTCCCTTTCTTTGATGAGGATGAAGGTGGAGCTCAGCCCCTGCTCCCCACAGTGGGATGTGGGGTGAGATGCTGCCACCGCAAGCAGAACTTGGTGAATGGTGGAGATCCCATGGCACAGGGTTTAGCTCAGCTCCACGGCACTGGAGCTCCAGTCTGTTCCAGGTTCTAGGGTGCAGCAGATTGGTCTTCTGGTTCTGTCAGGGGTGCAGTGCCACCCCCACACCTCTGCAGGCCTGGTGGATGGAGGGCATTGACTCTGTAGATTCAATCTTTACATCTATAGAAACCATAAACCTACTTCGGAGACTTCATGGCTGCCTTAAATTCACTGCGATGTGTGATCTCTGTCTGTCCCCTGAAGACACATTACCCACAAGTCTGAGTTCACCTTGCAGTAGATTAAAATAATCATCACTCCTCTATTAAATGTGTGTATGTATATTCTTAAGTAAAGGTATTATTTTTATGTTCTAAAGAGCACCTTCCCTAATATTTTTAGAAATCCTAGAAATAATTTGACTGCTAAGGGACACATTTCCCAAGAAAACTTGCAATCCAGGGGAAACGTCGTGTCCACTACTGATAACTGCAAAGGAATTACTTCTTTCCATGGCTGGTTATAAAATGCGAAAGTGTTACTGATGTCCAGGTTTATACAGGTATCTGAGACATATTGCTAGTAATTATGCAAAAAATTTAAATGATGAGGAATAGCTGCCCAAAAGGTCAGGAGTGACATTTGGAAGGAGAAGGAACCTGGCAAGGTGTGCAAGAGATGCGGTGGTGTTTCCTGTACCAATTTAATCACTGCAGCTGAACACAACTGCTTTACTGAGGAAACATCCAACTGTGAGCTCATGGTTGGTGCAACGCACTTATAATCTTGTTTCCAACATTCCTACATGCCGGGAGCGCCAGACCGTGCCCTCAGTTTACGTGCTGGTTGCCTTGTGTACTGGTTCCTACATGGAGATTCCTAATTAAACTACTGGATTTGTATTTTTAAT